AGTATTTTGTTACCTTTTATTGATGATTTCTTCAGAAAATTTTGGGTGTATTTCTTGAAACAGAAATCTGAAGTCTTCTTTAAATTCAAGTAGTTGAAAGCTTAGGTGGAGAACCAAACTGACAGAAAGATTAATTATTTGAGGTTTGATAATGACACAGAGTACATAGATTCGCAGTTTCAGAAGTTCTGTGAGGAGTATGGGATTCAGAGGCATTTTTCAGTACGCAAGACACCGCAACAGAATGGTGTGGCAGAAAGGAAGAACAGATCCTTAACTAAAAGAGCAAGATTCTTGAGACTGACTGCTGAGCTTCCTAAGAGTTTCTGAGCAGAGGTTGTGAATATGACATGTTATCTCATCAATAGGTCACCTCGGTCATCGTTGGGTGACAAGGTCACAGAAGAGGTATGGACAGGTAATCCAGTTAATTTCGATCATTTATGAATTTTTTGTTGTCATGCTTATGTGCATGTATCTGGAGATGAAAAATCAAAACTTGATGCAAAATCCAAAAAGTGCATCTTTTTGGGCTATAAAAAAGGTGTGAAAGGATACAAGTTTTGAGATCATATTGCAAAGAAGATGGTGATCAGCAGAGATGTAGTTTTTGATGAATAATCTATGTTACAGCAGAAACATGACATGGTGCAAGGGAACAATTTCAGTTTAAATGCAATGCAGATGAATTTAGAACAACATCTAGAACAATTGAGAGAGTTGAAGGTTCAAAGTTGAAGGTTCAAAGAGTTGAAGGTTCAAATCCAACACATGGTGATTTCATTCCAGATGATCTGCAAAATTATAATCTAGTCAGAGACAGACAGAGACGCGCTAATATAAGGCCTCTTAGCAGATTAAGTTATGAAGCTTAATCTCTTGTGAACTTCTCATCAACATCGATGATCCAACCAATTTTCAAGGACCTATCACTAACCAGGAGAAAGAGAAATAGATGGATGCAATGGTTGAGGAGATGGAGTCTTTACAGAAAAATGACACATGAGAGCTAGTTCAGCTTCCTGAGGAAAAGAAAGCTATTGGTTACAAGCGAGTGTACAAAAGAAAACTAGAAGTATCAGAAAAGAAAGGGAAAAGTTCAATGATCAGCTGGTAGCAAAAGGATTTTTTACAGCAAAAGGGGATAGATTATGATGAAATCTTTTCTCCTGTGGTCAGACATACTTTAATCAGCATAGTGCTTGCAGTAGTAGTCATTTGAGATTTGCATTTGGAGCAGATGGATGTTAAAATTACTTTCTTACATGGTGATCTAGAGGAGCAGATTTACATGAAACAACCAAAAGGGTTCACTCAACCTAGACAGGAGCATCTGGTTTGCAGGTTAAAGAAATCACTATATGGGTTGAAACAGTTTCCAAGCCAATGGTACAGTGTGATTTGACTCCTACATGATTCAGATTGGCTACAAGATATGTGAGTATAATTGTTTTGTTTATGTGAAGAGCCTTGATGATCGTTCTATTATTTTTTTGTTGCTGTATGTTGCTGTTACTGTATGTTGATGCTGTATGTTGATGAAATACTGATTGCTGCAAAGAATATGAATGATGTATGTGGTTTGAAAGCTTTATTGAGCCGGAAATTTGACATAGAAGACTTGGGTCCTACGAAGAAGATTCTTGAAATAGAGATTTATCGAGATAGAGACTCAAGACGATTATTTTTATCTCAACGAGGCTATGTTGAGAAAGTGATGGACAAGTTTGAGATGAGCAAAGAAAAGCCCGTGAGCACCCCATTAGCAAATCATTTTAAGTTTTTTTCAGAACAGTGTGCTAAGACAGATACAGAAATCAAAGACATGGAAAAGGTTCCATATGTCAGTGCAGTTGGCTGCTTGATATATGCAATTGTACGTACTCGTCCTAATTTGGCTAATGTTGTTAGTCAAGTCTGCAAATACAAGTCTAAACCTGGAAGGCGACATTGGGAAGCAGTCAAGTAGATTTTCAGGTATCTGAAGGGTACTGTAGGACTTGAAGTTATTTTTGACAGTCTACAGGATGATCCTTCAGTTGTGGGGTACATTGATTCTGACTATGCTGGTGATTTGGATTGCAAAAGGTCTACAATCAGGTATGTGTTTACTCTTGGTGGAGGGCCTATATGTTAGAAATCAATAATTCAGTCTATTCTGGCATTATCTACAACTGGAGCTGAGTATATGACATTAGCTGAAGCTGCAAAAGAAGTCTTATGGCTTGAGAAGCCTTATGGCTTGCTGGGCTAGTAAAGGAACTGGGCATTGAGCAAGGTAGAGTTCAGTTGCATTGTGACAGTCAGAGTGCTATTTATCTGGCTAAGAACCATGTGTACCATGCGAGAACAAAGCACATTGATGTCAGGTATCACAAGATCAGAGATTTGATAGCATCTGGTGAGATATTATTGCAGAAGGTTCATACTGATGAAAATGCAGCTGATATGTTAACCGTCAGTTGCTATCAACAAGTTCTTGCATTGCTTGGACTTGTTGAATGTTTGCAGTTGCTAGAGAAGTATGGTGACCCAACCCACTTCTAGTATGTAAGAAACTCCATGACGTATTTCTCCTAAAAGGCTAGTTATTCACCAAGGTGGAGATTTGTTAGATATGACTCATATACCATAGAGGGACAGATTCTGCAGCGGAGCGGAGCGGAGCGCAAGATTCTGTCCAAATAAGAGGAGTTTCGTTATGTGGGTTGGGGGTGTGGTACATGGGTAATTTGGTAATTACATATTGTACTTCAGGGTTTTCTAGGGTTATAAATAGGTCTGTGTGTAACCCTAGGTGTTATCTCTGATTTCTGTAATCTATTTTCTGAATATTTAAAGGAATTCGCAGCTCTGCTCCCGAGGACGTAGACATCTTTGTCGAACCTCGTTAAATCTTTGTGTGTTCTTCTAGATTTGTGTCGATTCCTGTTTTTCTTTGCCCTAATTACTCAACACTATGCATCAAAAGGTCTATTTCAGATTATAGAATATAAAATAATGATATTTTTTATGTGATATGAAAGATTGGAGTGGTATAGTTTTAAAAAGCCAGCTTAAGGTGTTGATATGTGAAGATACAAGAATTGGGTGATTTGTATGTAAATGCCTCTTTTTTATTTTATAGATTGATAAATGTATATTTAGTGTTGAAATACATAAAGTGAAACAATCAAAGATAATAGGTCTGAGGGCTGGCCCTAAAGAAGAAAAGATATGTGTCGCGGCTTAATATTTTCCCGCTTGAGTAAGCCCCTACGCTGTCGAGGCAGCCACACACACCTTTCACCCTGGATGAGATTCTCATTCAAGTGATGTTATAGTTCTAGTTTATTATGTGTAGGTTTGCAATCACAACTTTTTTGTTGACCTTAATTGGCTTAGTTGTTATGTTTTTGGCTGATCATTGGAACTGTGCAAGATGACTTTTAACTTCTCCATCGTATTCAGATGATGCTTATTGGTATTCTTGTTTTGGAGGCCTTATTTTATGAATCTATCACTAAATCGTTTTTTAGGCTACTTTTTCTGTGGATGCCGCTGTCTTGGGCTGCGTGTGGCATCGAAACATTTCCATATCCTGGATGGATTTCTGATCATTTTGCTTTTTTTAGGGTTTAGGGAAGCAATGATGTGGATTACATCAACTATGGGCTTAAGTGGCTTATCTATACAGCTGATTCATTGGTATTAAAGATTGGGAGACCTTTAAGTCTTGGCTGCCCTCTCTATAGACCAGATTTCTCTTGGTCTTTTGCCTAAGACAAACTGATATGATCTTTATGATCTTTATTTTAAATATCATGACATAGGGTGACTGAAGCCAATTCATAGAGATCGTTGTGAGGACTAAGGTCTCATCTATCTCCTCGGATATATTTTTTATTTTGCTCTTCCCTTTTGTTTACATTTTCTTTCTTATAATTAATGTTAGTTTACTTTGCTACCACAAGCTCATACATTTTTATTGTAAAGGAGTCCTGTTTTGCTTTTGTTATTTTTGTATTTGATAATTGAGTATTGCTGGAAGCTTTACATAAATATTACTCAATTCTCGTGTATTTATATATCCAGCTCCTATACTTTAATTTTTACCTACATACACTACCACCTTATCTATTCATAAAAAAGTGCATTTAACATTTAAAAACATTGTTAACACTAAAGTAATGAACTTTTAGAGTTCGGTCATGAAGGTATTAATTTCTTCCATCTTTATATCCAAAGGACCGATTTCAAGCAGCAAATCATAAAAAAAATAAAATTAAATAAATTATCATAGTTACTGTTTTTACACAACCACATCTCCATGGTTTTTCATGACCATCAATTGTTCTTTGGCCATTAAATTAGATAAACATTGCTTATTAGCATTCAATTATTTGCATGATCTAGAAAAAAAATTAGGGGCCAAAGCTATATATAGTTGGTAAAACAATAAAACATATAAAAAAATTATTATCATACAATTATTTTGCACTCATAACATACTTTTAATTCTTTTAATAAAATTATAATACATTACTGTTGTTAAAAAAACATATTGACTCAAAAAAGATTTTTTAAAAAAAAATTGTATACCATCTCAATTATTTTAGGTAGTTTTTTTTATTTATAACCCAATTAACTTTAATGTACACTTCCACTTCACAACTTACTCTGCTCAATGCTAAGCACAACAATCTATTTTAAACAGCTTATTTTGATGTTACTCTCTTAGTATTAGAGCATGTATAATCATATTGAATAGTATCATTTCCATTACAAAATAGGAACATTTACATACATACCACTTAGCTTTTAATTTTTTAATCATATTTTAAGCTAAATTACGCTAAGAAAATGTCTTGCATCTCTTATCTTTCTTCTCAATCTTAGAATAAAATTGGCTTTTTCTTGTGCCATATAAAAAAGCATCATTAGTGCTAAGCGTTTTTCTGTATAACATAAATAATAATACTTTACACTAATGACCTCTTTCTGTCAAATAACTTGTATAACAATAAAATAAAATGTCAAAAGAGTTTTTGATTGTTTATATGGGATTATTTTAGTCTTAGAATTTTGTAGAAATGACACCATGACCATTTTCACACTTTACTCCAGCCACAAATATGCAACTTGCACGCCAATTTCTTAATAAACCACACCCTAAAACAGAAAAAAAAAAATCAAGCAAATAATACATTCATCAAACAATCCAAGCCATTTAAAAAATAAAAATAAAAAGAGAAACGAAGCATGATACATCAGACACCTCTTGCGAGCATCTGCCTGTAATTCTCAATCGACTGAAGGCGCTGAAGCAGGAGATTCTCCCTGAACCTCTTAATGAACTGCTCAGCGCTGTCATTTATATCTTCCTCAACCAAATCCATTCTCTTCACCCGCAATCCAGCCTTAGCTGCTCCGGGCTTCCTCTTCCCCTGCGGCGCCACCGCCTCAGTGGCCATCGCCGGTGAGAATGATAAGCTGGTATTGCAAGAGATTCGCCTGTCGTCATCCATGGCTATGTGCTCTTCTTAAAAGAGGCCTCTTTCTTAAAGGATTATGATTTTTGAGCTGTTAGTGATGAAGCGTTGAGGCGTCATCTTATAGGTTTGAGACGTGAGAGCGAGCTAGCTGTAAAGTTGACAAAAGCAACTGAGGAATCTTTGGAGTGTGGGAAAGAGACGGAGCCGACTAAATGTTACGGGTTTTGAGATGAAATTTAGGAGCTTAAGATTCGTTTCTGTGACGGGTAGGCTACCAACCCTGGCTAAACCTCGGAGGAAGTAACGCAGTCGCCGCACGCTTGCGCATTTGGAGACCGATCCACGCTTCATTCTCCCTCTTTTTTTTCCCCCATTTATTATTTAGGGCTGCAATTTTAACTTAAACATTTTTAATTAATCGATCAAAAATTGATTTAAATTTTGGCTTGGATTGAGAATGAATTTAAATAAAGTAGCCGAGCATTTTTAGCTCATCAACTTTTGGTGCCTTCAAAAAATTATTTGATTTTATAAAGTTTTGAATTTAAAATGATTTTAATGATTAACATATTGGGCTTTGATGGTCGATTAGTTTCATATAAGTGATTTGACAGCAACCAAAAGGATCTAACATTTTTAGCTCATGAGCTTTCGGTGCCTTCAGAAAACTAAATGATTTTATAGTCAATTGTCCTAAAAAAAATAACTCCTATAATCTAAACTATATCAGATTGCTTTAACTCATCTTTCATTTTAGAGCAAAGTCACTTCCCTTACCCCAATAAGAGCATCAT